AAAAAAAAAAAAAAAAAAGAGCAATCCTTTTCTGCTCAAATAACAGATAGATAAATGAAAAACACAATTTCCTTTCTCTCCTATCACCAAGTCCTGAAAATCCTACAACATATGCTGACTCCGTTCACTTGCCTCCACCCCACTCCCTCCATCCTGATGCAAATCCTTTATCTCTCACCTTGACTCTGAAATAGGTTCCCTCTAACTAGACTCCAGATTTTCACTCTTGTCCTGCCACAGTCCATTCCTCACCAGAAGGATCTTTTAAAATGTAAATACTCTTGATTTTCCTTTGCTTAAAAACCTTAGATGGTTTCCCTTCATATTTAGAACAAAAACTAAACTTCCTTACCCCGGGCCAAACTGTGATCTAGCCCTTGCTGCTCCCTCTAATCCCATCTTAAGCCCCACCCCGAGCCCCGCCCCATGCTCCTCCCACACCAACACAAGCTTCTTGCCACCTCATGGTCTTTCCAGGAGCCGGTCCTGCTGGCTGGATTGATTTCCTCCAAGACCTTTACTTGCCTTGCTTCTCTGCCTTTCCAGTCTTGGGTTCAGCCGCTTTCTCTGAGAAGTCTCCAGACACTCTAACATATCAGCCTATTTTATTTTTTTCATTTCACTTGGTGATGGGGATTTAATTCTCTATTGGCTTGCGTACTAGTTTGTCTCCTGTCACAATAATGTAATTCCCTGAACTCAGCGATCTTGTTTTCTTCTTCACCGCTGAATCCCCAGTCCCCACCCCCACCCCCACCCCCAAACAGTGCCTAGAACATGGCACTTGTGTAACCAATACTTGCTGAATGAATGGATGGTGTCTTGGGGCTAACAGCAGCAGCAGCACCTGGAAACTCACCGAAATTGGGTCTCCTTGGCCAAAGCCAGAATAGCTGTGGCCCCCCCAAATGAATGTCCCATCACAGCCACGCGGCTCATGTCGATGCTGCCCTGAGGAAAGTGGAGAACTTAGCCAAGTCAGAAACTCAGGACTGGTTTTTTTAGAAATTCATCAGGAGAAGAGGAAGAAATAGTGAAGCAATGAGGCCAAAGGCAGAGTAGAGTTGGTGAACCCACTGAAACCACGTTATTAAGGGCCTCTTCCCTGTTGGAGAGCAGCCAGGCAGGCAATCCTTACACTCAACAGCCTACTATAGGCAGGGATTCTGAGAACCATGTTTTTTCGTCTTTATTTTTGTAATTTTGCCGCCTAATGACACCTGCACAAGGGTAGACATTCAAATATCTATGCAAATAAATGGACAGACTGGGCACCGTGGCTCACACCCAAAATCTCAGTGCTTTCAGAGGTGGGAGGATTGCTTGAGGCCAGGAATTCAACACTAGCCTGCGCTACAGTAATGAGACCCCTGTCTCCATAAAAATAAAAAATAAGTAAAGAAAGTAAAAAATAAAAAAAATTAGCAGGGCCTGGTGGTATGCACTGATAGGCCTAAGCTACGACTGTGCCACTGCATTCCAGCCTGGGCAATAGAGCGAGACCCCATCTTCAGTAAAAAGATAGATAGAAAGTGACACTTCTGTCTATGAGCACGTTACAAATAAGAGCTATCTCTGTCCTCTAGAACCCCTGCCTCATAAATCGGTCCAAGGGGATGACACACAGGCCGAGTTGAGGATAGAATGGCCATCCACTTTGCTAGGGAGCAAGGACTGCTTGTGTGGAAATGAACTCAGGTTCTACTTCCTCTCTGGGTATCTGTCCCAATTTTTATTCAAAAGCCCAGAGAAAGAGACAGTGAGTCTGCGCACTCTAACACGCTCTGCAAGTATCTATTTCTGGTTGTCCCCAGAAGGCTTCAGGACTTGGTTATATAAAAAGTCACTGTAGCTGCCTGCTAAGAGGCTGGGGAAATCTCTCCAGCTTTGCTGCCCAGCCTCTGCTCTGAACCCTTTTTCTCTCTGCTCCTTTGTTTCTGTCCCAAGGCTTTGTACCTCAATTTTCCTCCTTCACTCAGTAACTTCAGATCAACAATATGGTTGAATGGCCTCTTTGGCTTTTTTATTTTATAGGTAGCTATGCTCATGTATCTCTAAGATCAGAAGTATATACAGAGAAGTCTCCCACCTACTCCATTTCTTTTCCACACAAACGCCTACTTCCTGCCCCCCAAAAGGTAACAGTTTCTTTGACGTGCTAGGAGAGATTGCTTATGCATATATAAACAAATATGAATATGTATTTTCTCCTCTTTTTGCACAAATAGTTCTGTATCTTACTTTTTAACAAAATTAGTACATAAAGAACTTCTTCTTCTTCTTCTTTTTTTTTTTTTGCAGTTTTTGGCCGGGGCTGGGTTTGAACCCCCACCTCCAGCATATGGGGCCGGCGCCCTATTCCTTTGAGCCACAGGTGCCGCCCCGTAAAGAACTTCTTTATCCTTTTTTACAGCTCCTTTTGATATCACCATGGTATAGACAGCTAGCCAATCACCAAATCTGTTCTTCTTAATTTTTTTTTTGCAGTTTTTGGCTGCGGCTGGGTTTGAACTCCCTGGGGCCGGCGCCTTACTCCTTTGAGCCACAGGCGCTGCCCTTTCTGGAGACACAGCTAGACTATTCTCCAGCAGTTAGATGTGGCCTTGGGACTGAGTTCTAGCCAATAGAACATGAGCAAAAATGACATCTCCACTGCCAGGTCTGGCCAATAAAAACTCTCTGGTACAAACCTCCACACCCTTTCCTGTTCATGGGGCTTCGTGTAAACTGCAAATCTAAGATTCACAAATGAAAGATGCTAAAACCGTAAGTTACCTCCTGCTTAGGAACACTCATTTTGGACGTTATGTAGAAAGAAATATATTTCTTCTGCACCCAAATGCTGATCACAACACAGCTCACAATTGCAAGGATATGAATCAACCTAAGTGCCCATCAACTGATGAGTAGTTAAAGAAAATGTGGTATATGTATACCATGGAGTACTTGGTCATAAACAGGCATGAAATAAGGCCAGGGGCGGTGGCTCACTCTTGTACTCCTAGCATTTTGGGAGGCCAAGGTGGGTGGACTGCTTGAGCACAGGAATTCGAGACCAGCCTGAGCAAAAGCAAAACCCTGTCTCTAAAAAAAAATCACTGGGCAGCCAGGCATTGGGGTGGGCACCTATAGTCCCAGCTGAAGAGGCTGAAGCAAGAGGATCGCTTGAGCCCAAGAGTTTAAGATTGCTGTGAGCTATGACACCATGGCATTCTACTAGGCAAGAATATGAGACTGTCTCCAAAAAAGGCACGAAATAACATCTTTTACAGCAACTTGGATGGAACTGGAGATCATTATGCTAAGTGAAGTATCTCAGGAATGGAAAAACAAATACTACATGTTCTCACTTATAAGAGGGAGCTAAATGAGGGACACATATGGTCATAAAGTGGTGTAAGGGACATTGAAATCTAGTAAGGCAGAATGGAGGGGTAAAGGGGGGAGTATGGGATAAAAATCTACCTACTGGGTACGGTGTATACTACATGCTGGTGACTGGTACCCTGTCAACAGCATAATACAAGATATTCTATGTCTGTACCTCCCCCCAAAAGAAAATAAAACAAAAACCAGGGCCCACAGGCTAAATCTGACCCACTGCCCTTTTTGTATGACTTTCAAATAAAGAATGATTTTTACATTTTTAAAAACCTGAAAAAAATCAAAAGAAGAACATCTTGTGATACATGGAAATTACACGTAATTCAAAAATAGTGTCCATGAATAAAGTTTTATTGGAGCACACACAAAAAAAGAAATATAATTCTATCGTATTTCACCACTGAGATATGGGGTTTATGTGCTTTAGCAATTAGCATTAACCAATACTGTTCCATGATCTATTAAACCAGTTCCCTTATTGGTGAACATTTAAGTTACTATCAATCTTTTGCCATTAGAACAACAGTGGAATGAATGACATTATATATCCATCATACTGCATGTATATATGGATAGGATGAATTCCCCAAACTGGAAATGGCTGGGTCAAAGAATATGTGCATTTGTACTGTGGATAGCTATTACCAAATGCCCTCCATGGGGCAATCTGTACTCTCACCAGTGAAGCCAGAGAGTATCTACTTCCCCACAGTTTGGTCAACAGGGTGAGTAATCAATTTTTGGAGCTTACTCAATCTGATAGGTGAAAATTTACTTAGCTTTTTTTTTGTTTATTCTGTATCTCCCAAAAGACTGCCTCCTAATTAATCCAATTGGATTGCAGCCTGCCGTTCCCCAATTTCTGTCTCAGGCTCACAGGCATTCAGGCCTGGACTTTAGTGCCCTAGCGTGGTGGGGGTTGATGACACAGATACTGTAATTGGTAAAACACTCCAGATTCCAGGGTCTACCCCACCTGCCATATAGGCAGGTGCTTTTCCCTGGAGGAGATTCCTAAAGTCTTTCAAATACATTTCCTAAAGCAGCTTTGGGGCACATGGCACAGGCTTTAACATCAAAAAGCCCCAAATTTAAAGTTTGACTCTACCACTTAACTTAGCTCAGTAACGTTGGGTAGACACTTAGCCTTTTTGATCCTTGGTTTCTTTCTATATAAAGAGGTAATAATGCTTATTTCATAAATTTGGGTGCGGAACTCTTTTTTTGTTTTGTTTTTAGCAGGCCAGGCACAGACACGCCAGCCCCAGTGCGCGGGACTGGTGCTCTAACCATTGAGCTATAGATGCCCAGCCAGGCTGAGGAGCTCTTATCAGAGTTAAGTACTCACACAGCAGTAATATATATGTATGTAATATATAGATAAATATATATATATATATATGTGCACGCACACACACACCATTCTTACTCCTACAACAGAATATTAGATGGCTATTAAAAATCACATCATAGGGCAGTACCTGTGGCTCAAAGGAGTAGGGTGCCAGCCCCATATGCCAGAGGTGGTGGGTTCAAACCCAGCCCTGGCCAAAAACTGCCAAAAAACAAAAAAACACACCATACAAGAAGATCACTTGAACCCAAGAGTTTGAGTTCAGCCTGAGCAACACAATGAGAACACCATCTCTAAAAATATTTTTTTTTAATTTTAAAAATTGGTTCCGCACCTGTAGCATAGTGGTTACGGCACCAGCCATGTGCATGGAGGCTGATGGGTTCAAACACAGCCCAGGCCTGCTAAACAACAATGACAACTGCAACAAAAAAAAAAGCTGAGTATTGTGACGAGCGCCTGTGGTCCCAGCTACTTGGGAGGCTGAGCAAGAGATTCACTTAAGCCCAAGAGTCTGAGGTTGCCATAAGCTATGATGCCACAGCACTCTACTGAGGGCGATATAGTGAGACTAATTAGCATGAGAAGATAATCATACTGTTTTGCTAAGTAAAAAAAAGGCCACAAAATAGCTTATGTTATGTAAGATTGATGTTTTTAAAACATACATATATGTTAAGGCATTTTACTATTATTAAAAACAACTTTTTTTTTTTCCAGACAGTTTTTGTCACCCTCGGTAGAGTTCCATGGTATCATAACTCACAGCAACCTCAAACTCTTGGGCTCATGCAATTCTCTTGCCTCAGCCTCCCAAGTAGCTGGGACTAAGGCACTCACCACAATGCTGGCTATTTTTAGAGACGAGGTCCCACTCTCGCTCAGGCTGGTCTCGAACCCATGAGCTCAGGCAATCCACCCGCTCAGGCTCCCAAGTGCTAGGATTACAGGCATGGGCCACTGCGCCTGGCCTAAACAAAACTTTTAGAGATAGAGTCTCACTGTGTTTCCCACACTGGCCTTGGACTCCTAGATTCAAGCGATCCTTCTACCTGAGGCTTTCTAGTAGCTGGGTCTCTAGATGTGTGCCACCATGCCTGGATTGTTAATGCATTTTAGAAGAACTGGAAGGACAAACATCCAAATGTCAAAAAAAAAAACTGTTTCATTTTTCTTCTTGCTTTTATGCGCTTTCTTGGTTCTCTGAACAGAGCTTGACCTACTTTTGAAAGTAGATAGAAGAAGCTCAGCACCTGTAGCACAGTGGCTACAGCACCAGCCACATACACCAAGGCTGGTGGGTTTGAACTTGGCCTGGGCCTGCTAAACAATGACAACTACAACCAAAAAATAGCCAGGCATTGTGGCAGG